ATCCAAGAGGGTGGGGACCACCAGGTGAATGGTTTTGGAGGAAAACTCTGCTTGCAGGTGCTGCACAGCTCTGTGCTAAAGAATTTATCTGAATTTAGTCCTCCAACTGCTCAGTCAGAGAATCTGAAAGTAGGGCTGGGACTGTATTTAAACTCACCTGTATTAGTGGAACCAGTGCATTGTGCACAAGCCTGTTATTGGCAGACAGGCTGATGTCTGATTTACAGAGCTGTGGATGTCGTAAAGATTGACCACATTTTAGCATTCTGTTTAGCAAGACTCATGTGCTTGTCCCGTGTTAGTAACTGCTGTTCACCATTTTCAGATCTGGTAGCTGTAGGATGTGAGCTCAATGGAGTTTATTATGCCAACGGGCAGACCTTTCAGCCTAACCAGCTTTATAAGTGCCTGTGTGTCAGTGGTACAATCGGATGTACCCCTGTTTTCACACCAAGATTAGCAGGAAGTCCCTGCACCAGGGTCCCAGGCACAAAGAAACCAGGACAATCCATCTGTGGCCTGGGACAGCACAAGCAACTTCAATCAACCAACTACAGACTGATGTCAGGTGAGCCTGGCTACACTGGTAAACTTTTCTGTACATGAGCTTTTCTGCATTTAGTGTCCCTGGCTCCAGCAGCCAGGCAGGCAGCGCACTGGCACTTGCCCAGTTCTTGCTCAAGGCCCTTGCCAGGGTGACTGTTGTGTCCCACTTACCCCTCTTATTCTCAGGTCACAGATTCATTTCTCTAATGAATGTGAAAAGCAAAAAGGCTTTTGGCTTCTGTCACCAGGGAATTGGCCAAAGCATCTTTCTGCAGAGCTTTGCTACTCATTGGATCAGCCCAATTAGGGATGCTGCTGGACAGCCATTTTGCAGCCTGGGAACTGCCCCACTTTTTCCTGCTTTGTGGTGTTAGGCAGTCTTGGTTTTCACATCCATACATTAACAGAATGCAGGTCTCTTCCTTCAACAGAAAGTAGAAAATTATAAGAATTGCCTTAGTGGCTTTCCTGCATTCACAAATTTTAGGTCACTGCAAGAACAACACTTCCCCCCCACTTCATTCATTCTGATCAAAAGCATTCATAAGCTTGTCCATGCAACTCTGCCTGGGTCAATGGACTGACCCTTTAACTCCATTCTTGCTCTGCTGCTAACACAAGTTCTCTTTTTCACTCTAAGGAAGCACCATTGCCAGAAGCAGCTATGCCAGCCCTTCCCTGGCCACAGCTGCTTATGCTTGTGCCATCTCCTTCCCTGTGCATGTGCAACTTTCCATGGTGAAAGTCATCTTCGTTACAGCTAATGCAGGTACAAGAAAGCAGAGCAATTTATTTGGTGGCAGATTGAATCACCATCATGGATCAATAAAATAAAACTAAGAGGATGCTTATCAGAAAAAACTTTATCAAAGGCTCCTGAGTAGATGCACATCAATCAATCTCCAGGTAAACAGACGTGCTTACAAAATCTGAAATCCAGTTTGGACAACTTCTCACATGTAAGCAGTGGTCATGCAATTAAGCCAAAACAAAAATGTTCATCTTCACTTCAAAATTATGTTACAATACCTATATCGAGTATCAAAGCCTTTTAACAAAAATACATTCAATGCTGTTGTATAAACATATAATCAGTAAAGCAAGTGACTTCAAGTAAAGAGAGATTTAACTTCTAGAGAACTTTGCTAATATGGTTGAAGAGAGACCACAATGCATTGAAAACAATGCCAACCAAACCACATGAGCCTCTGAAATACATCTCACCACAAACCCAATTAATGTATTTCAGATATATGGAGAACAGCATTAAGCCATTTACTTTGTAGTCCTTCAGAGGATCCAAAAGCGAAAGTCCAAGCTTCAGTAACTCCTTCACTGACTGCAACAGGACATAATTTATTCTGGAATTTGGATCAGCTGCACACCATAGCCTTGAAAGCAGACACCCAGCTGCAAAAGCACACTTTCTATTGGGCTTGGTCCAGGGACCCAACACCTTCTCCCTGTGGTGGCTTTACATGCTGTAGGATGCTGTTCTTTGGGAATCTTCTGAAGAAAAACACCTTGAAAATATTTTTCAAGTAAAGTCTTCCCTCTCCCATTTCCCAGTCCAGCAGAAGTATCTTGTCAACTTGTCCATGAATTCCATGGGTGGCTCAATGGGCTAATATGTATTTTGAAAGGTCCCTTTTCTGTTAGAGTGGATAGAAACTGCTAAGTTTCATTTTACTCCTCTTGCTTTGTTTTCTGGCTTTCTATTTCAATTTGATTTACCTAATTCAGATACACAGAGATGGAACTAGGTCATACTTTAAAAAATGTACCAAGTATAAAAAACCATTTAACTTCCTTTTATTTGTTGCAGATCTGTGACAGGCTTTTAAACTGCTTGCTTCAATGAGATCTTTAAATTGCTGTCTACTTTCCAAGTAGACAGCAGTTCTGGTAATTCCAGGTAATTCTGCCTGTGCTCATATATAAATGCAGAGACTACAAATAGTTTTTTTGTAGAACTTTTCCATTGCAATTTTGTTTCTTTTTTAAAGTACGCTCCACCTAATCCAGCCCTCAGGTTTTTTAGTGGTATCTAAAAGTGATTGGACAATTTCATTCCTCAATACAAAACCTGAAGTCTTATCGATATCTACAAAGACACAAATATTAATGTTCTCAGCAGTCTTTACAAACTATGCTCAGCCTAAAGTAAAAGAAATATCTGGACATTTCATAAAAATTCCACAATTAACTCTTTTCACTCATTTCCATCACATGAAACTTGAAGGTCATATAATACATGCAATTTCATAGTCCTTGCTAGGATCTGAGTATCCAGTATCAGCAAAGTTTAACTGCAGCTCAGCTGAATTTTGCATAAATGTTATTTATGTCTCATTTTTAGGTTTACCTACAGAAGTATCTTCATGAACAGAAATCAAATTCTTATCCTTGTATTTTCAATTCATCCTTTTGGGGCTGCATAAATAAAATATTGCTGTCTTAGCTTACAGAAGCTTACCACTAGTTTTGAAGAAAAAGTGCCTCATACAGGCAACTCCCTGGACACCCTGTTCCAGGACCTGTGGCATAGGCATGTCCAGCAGAGTGACCAACGACAACAGAAAATGTGAAATGAAAAAAGAAAAGAGATTATGCTTCATCCAGCCTTGTCTGACCAATATGCTGAAGAAAATAAAGGTATTTTCTAGCATAAAATTAATTCCTAACAGAAAATTAAAATATTGGAACTAATGGAAAAACGGCTTTATTATCAAGTACTAATACACATCTACTTCTTTCTTTTTTATGGGGTTTAAAATAACTCTTCTGTTTTCTACCATTAATGTTCATGTTTCATTAGCAAACTACAGATGTGCAATTTCAAACAAAAGAATGTAATGTCCTGAAATATAAGTGCTGCTAATGCTGTCCTGATGCACAATCACTTCAAAAATATTTTCTATTTGTTGGCTGACAAAGGAAAAATCAAGCAGCTTTCAGATTGAGTAACTTTCAAGATATTTCTAAGTAAATGTCACAACTTTTTCTTGCATGATCTGCTTTTAATGTTCAGGGTTTTCTTTGTTTTAATATTAAAGATTCCAAAGGGAAAAACATGTCAACCAACTTTCCAGCTTCCAACAGCAGAGAAGCTAGTTTTTTCGGGATGCTCAACTACTCAAAGATACAAACTAACTTTCTGTGGAGTGTGCTTGGACAAGAGGTGCTGCATTCCTAATAAGTCCAAAATGATCACTGTACAGTTTGAGTGTCCCAACGAAGGCTTCTTCAGATGGAAGATGATGTGGATAACATCGTGTGTGTGTCAGAGGATTTGCAGTGCTCCTGGAGATATATTTTCCCAACTCAAACTCCTATGACAAATAACACCATTGACTATAACACATGGAGTGCAACAGCACATTCACATCCTGAAGAGTCAGCATAACCCCCTGCCACAGCAGTGCTTATAATGAAACTACATACGTGAATATTCCCTCATTTATTAAAGAGCACCTGTAAAATGCCAGATGACATCTTTTAAATGTAACTGTTTTTACATGGGGAGATACATCCTTCTCAAGAATGTATCTAACACCAGCAGTGCTCAAACAAGAACTTCTGGTAACTAAGAAACATAGTAAGAAAGCTTCATACCCCACTGCAACAAGATTTTGCCCACAAAGACAAATAGATACTCTAACCTATTAGGAAAAAAAATTGCTTTGTAATACTTCATCTATCATTCTTCATTCTTAAATTAACCTTTTCTGCTATACATCTATAATAGTAAAACACATCAATGCTGTTTTGAAGCAGAAATCGTCAACTTTAATCTCAGATTGCATTTTCCAACAGATGGTCTTTCTCTAATATTACGGATAGAAACACTGGATGTGCAAAGGAACATATAAGTGGGCAACTGCAGATAATAGACGCAAGACTTAAGAAATTTGCTATTTTTAGAACAGTTTCTTAAAAAATGCTGTCAACAAATGTTATCACAAAGCTTTATTGAATACTTCTGGGCTTATACATTCAAAATTGCCTTTACTTACATATCCACACCAACTGTGCTAGAAGGACTTCAAATTTCAAGAAATCATTTTATCAATCCATTTTGATCTGTAACAGTTCACTGGCAAGCAACTGCAAATAGCTGTACATTCTATTTTGTGAAAGTTCTTACTGTAATATAAAAAGCTGCTTACCCTGATAATTATAAATATTAAATAATCTATTTTACTTGCATTCTTTCAAGGCTATAAGTGTTTTTCTCCAAATGGTTATTGTAACTTCATCATAAGTGCACAATTCGCTCAGAGGTATTGTGTATTATCTCATTATCAAGTGCAACTCAGCATTCATGAATATGAATCATTAAAAGATTAATTAATATTCCAAGTATAACACTTGAAACAAAATTTATTTTTTGGAATTTTCTGTTATTGCCAATTTTGGTATCATCTAAGAATGCTCTAATACAGCTAAGTACAAAATAGAAGCAGAAATACTAAAATGAGGAACATAGCTTAGAGCATTTTGAAATGTCTACAGCAAAGTGTAAGAAAGTTTCATTAGAGATTTGCTTTTATCTTTGAAAAGACTACATGGGCTTTTCTTCTCTTCGTAGTCGCTTGTTAAAAACTAAATCTAGTAATGGTGATCCTTCTTTGAAGCAAGACCTTCCTTTAGTTTACTGTAAGTTCAAAGACTGAGAAAATAATTATATTTTTGACTGCTACATACAAACTCTCTTCCTTTTCTTCACACCATATGGTGTGTCAATTTACTCCACAGTTAGGATTACTGTCCTTACTGATACCAGCCACAATGAGCTGCCTTCAAATCTTTTTACAGGCAGGGCTCACCACTTAATGACAACTCTTGAGGTAAGGAAGCTGTTGTGCTGGTCCCACTTTGGGATTAAAATAGTCAGGCATGCTGCAAGTCATTCTGGTTAACTGAAGTGGCTGGATGCTTAGGGAAAGTGCTTTTTTGTTGTTGTTTATAAAATCAGTTCTTCCTTCTTTAAAGAGCTATCTTCAGCCTTGAAGGATCTATTCTAGGCCCACCTTTTGTAGCATCCAGTTCATTGTACTCTTCTATTAGGTCAGACAAAGAGTATATAGCTTCTGAAAAACAGCTTTGCTCCATCCCATCTATTTGCAGATAATGGTGAAGGTGAGCCTAAGAGAATAAAAAAAATTCAGTGTTATCCTTTTCTTGGTATTTGATTGCTTTGGCTCAATAAATACCATTTAGCCTGTACTGAAGCAGGGAGTGCAAGCACTGTCAAAACAGCACTTAAGAGACTTACATCATGACAACCCTTGTTTAAACACTTGGCAACTTTGGCAACAATCCCCCAATGAATCACAGTCAAGATTACTGACTTCTTAAACATCCATCTTTTTATATTGTCTTCTTGGGTACACCTGACCAGCTGTAGATTGGGTTTACATGGCAGGATTTTGGCAGCAGGTGGAGTGCAGGGCTGCAGGGGTGGCTTTTGTGAGAAGGTAACAGGAGCTACCTCCATGCTGAACAGAACCATCCCAGCCAGCTCCAGTACGGACCTGCCACTGGCCACAGCTGAGCCCATTAGTGATGCTGGTAATGCCTCTGTGACAACATATTTATCGAGGGGTAAAATGCTGCACAACAGCTGTGAGATAGAAGACTCAAAATATGAGAGAAACAGCCCTGCAGACACTCAGATCAGCGAAGAAGGAATAGAAGTGGAATTCTGAGGCTGGAAAGAAGGCAGTGGAGTGGGGGTGAAGGTGTTTTCAGTTTTGTTTTTATTTCTTGCCACCCTACTCTGCTATTATTGGCAATAAATTAATTTTTCAAATGCCAGGTCTGTTTAGCCCACAATAACTGGTGGGTGTTCTCTCTGTCTTTCTTTTGACCCACGAGTTTTTCATTGTACTTTTCTCCTGTCCTGCTGAGGAAGTAAAGTGAGAGAAAGCTTGGTGGACTCTAAGGTTTAGATTAGATACTAGGAAGAAATTCTTTACTGTGCACTGGAACAGGCTACCCAGAGAACCTGTGGATGGTCCATGCCTGGAAGTGTTCTTGGCCAGGTTGGATGGGGCTTTAAGCCACCTGGTCACACAAATAAAACCCTTGGGCTATTAATTATAAACATATATTGTCCCTTTGCAACACTAAGATCTGTGTTTCAATAATGCAAGATGCTGATGATTAGTAACTATGGATGTTATAATGATAAGAGCTGCACCTTTTTCTTGTAGAGCTTCATAAATCTGTCTTTGAGTTCAATGAAAGTTGGTTTTACACAGGTGTTGTTTGCTAAAGCCAGAAGGGAATGGGAATGTCCCACAGGAGGTACTGAACACAAACCAGTTTTCCAGCCCTCTTGATTCCAGGAGACAAAGTGAAGAGAAGGCTTCAACCTGTGATACAAAAATTTAGTTATCTAAGGAATATAAAGAGCACAAAGGCTAACTACTAACATTTTCAATTAACAATTTGAAAAGGTTAACATTTAAGCACTCAGGATTAAGGAGAACAGTTATAACTATCACTGTGAATAAGATATTTTAGAATTCAGACTAAACCACTGTCTCCATGTTAAATTTAAATTGCAAACATCAATTGTTTTTTGTTAATTTAATGCACTGGGATCTGAAAAGTAGAGTCACAAGTACCTGCTTCTATAAAAGGGACTGCAAGCACTCTGAGATTTAGCAAAGGGGCAGATTAATACTGTGTGGGTGCAATCAGTCTACCTGTAGTTTTGAAAGAAGTAAAATACTTTATAATCCCAGAAATTTTCCTCATGCACCCATGTCTGCCCATAAATTCCGTTTTACCTGCCTTTCCTGTTACATGTACGTAGTTCAATAGTGTCCCAGGTAGAAAATGGGTGCTAACAACACAGAGTTGTTGAAATAAAGATGATTCCTTACCTACATGAAAGTAACCATGGAAAGAGAAGGGCTTTCTGTTCAGCAGAAACAAACTTCTACTACAGAACTCATTACTCCAACATCCTTTCTGTTGGGAGACCCCTGGAAGGCTGGGCTTTGGTTTTTTTTTTGCAAGTTGAAGAAAGAGAGGAGTAGCACTTCTCTTTATTTGGAAATCCAGGAATAATATGACTTATTTTCACTCATTATATAATTATGTTTTCTCCCCTTCTAACACTAAGAGAAGGAGGTTGGAGTAAACTGATTTGGTATTGAAACTGTTCAAATGAAAAGCTGGAATGCTCCGGACATCTGCCAGTTTCTGTAACAAATCCCATGACTACTCTGTGTGGTATTACAAACCTTTCAATGTTTCTGCGAAGGTCTGAAACCTGTACATTTCCTCGAACAAGAAGTGCACAGGCCAGGTAGAGGCTGTGCTTTGGATCGGCTTGAATTAGTTGATGATCTCTGCTAAAAGCATCTGAGAACATCTGATCTAACCTGGGTGAAAAGAAAACAGTTATCTTCTTTTACTAAAGTGGGATACAAAAGTTCTTCAGAATGTCCACCTTCAGGATTTTAAAGTTCATAAAATTCTGGATAAAGGTACATTTAACCCAGGACTATAAATTATAGGAAAGATTCAAACCTTTATATGTACATATAGCATTAGAAGTTTTTAAAAACACACTGGATCCATTTTTTCCTCATCCTCAAGTTACAAGCCACTGTTGAGTCAGAGAAGTTGCCTTTATAAAGGCAATTTGAGGCCAATGGTTACAAAGTCTTAAAATTATGTAAAAGAATTTAACTACTTGGGGTTCTGGTTATGTGGCAATTTGAGTGGACAATCTCACTGGGAAGGATCTGACAAGGAATATCAAAGTGCTGCTGACCCTTACAGAACTGATTATCTGCCTGTTAGACTTCATTATTTAAAAGGATCAATGAGTCATAGAACTGTATTAATTTTGATTAATGATTTGGGAAAAGACAGGCTATACATACTTGTCTAGTCTACTTATTCTAATTTTATTACACATGACTGCTTTAAAAGATGACAATGCAGATTATATTCTTTCTCTCTTCACTTCCTTAACCAAGTTTCACTGTACTGTGGGATACCAAAGAAGGTGTTCTGTGGACCCACAACATCTAAGCCATTTTTTCAGTTTGTTCCAAACGCTGTATATTTATAATCTCCATTTATTTTTTCTTATATCACCTCTGCCACAATCTGCCTATTATAAAAAAAAAAGGAGACAAAAATATTACTATTCCCACTTCATTCTGAAACATCTTTGGCTGACCATCTCCACATAGTCTGCTACCTTCCCCCCTAGCCCTGTACTCTCTCCTCAGGTTATGTTTTCAACAGATCTGACTGCCACAACTTGTTATCGGAAAATAAGTGTGGTCCTGCCCTCTACTTCACTTTGCATACTTCCATCACTTACCCTTAGCTGTCTCTATCACTATTTGGGCCTCTCACTGATTGAACATAATCCACCAAAAGCAGCAAAATCTATTTAACTGGTAATTTTTCTGCTGTGGCAGAAAAATACAAGAAGATGTTAAAGAGGCTCACTGCACCCACTGTATCTCCAGACTGAAGTAAGATGCCGTCATTTCCCCAAAGAGCCTAGTTAATCCCTTGTTTGTCTTTAGAGTATTTTGTCAGTCAAGTGCAAACTATTACTCAAAAGAACTTGTGGTGTGTGTCCTAAGTAATACATTTTCCCAATAGAAACACTTCCAGCAGAGATTAAAAGGATGTCAAGTTTACTGGCTCAACGATTACAGAGGAAAGGGACAACAGATGTTCCATAAATCAGCAGGATGAATTTGAAAATGTGGCAGACATACAAATTTTAGAACTTCCACCCAGAGTTTTGCTACAGAATGGAACTTTTAAATTAAAACTATGAACAAATCAGAAATTAAGCTTTAGATTTGAAACTCCAATAATATTTTTTCTTACCTTCTAGAAGGAACATTAACATCTGCCAGTGTATACAGAGGAGTCAAGCTTGAAACCAAATAATGAAGTCGAGGAAACGGAACCAAATTCATGCTGATTTCATTAAGATCCATGTTTAGGGAACCTTCAAATCTAGCAGAGCTGAAAAATTAACAAACCGTTATGAAACTGCTACAAACTAAGTAAATCACTTCTATAAGGTAAACTTTCATGAAATCTATTTTTCAGCTGTTCTGTACAATAAAACTGTAAAACAACACAGCATTCAAGCAAGTGTTCAAGTATAATTACAAACTTTCACATCTGGCAGTAACAATGCTATGTCTTATTTACTTATATTTAAAGAACATTAAGAACATTAAAGAACAATAAGTTACCAAGAATGATTCCTTGTTTCCCAATTGTAGTCTTTAGCACTGATTTATTATCATTAATAATATTTAATACCACTTAATACTGGTTAATTAATACCAGCTGGTTAATACCAGTTAATTAATACCACTTTTACTAAACAGCCTATAATAAAACACATGTGACTTAGCATTACCGACAAGCTGTTTAAAAGAAAAACAGACCAGTACTCCAGAAGCATATTTCTTGCAGCAATAGACAGTTTGCAAACAAAAATGATCTGACAATATTTATAAAATTATGCAACTGGCCAAGAAAGGCAAACCTCCATGGGCTCCATTAGGCAATGGAAGACAATATCATTCTGCCTATAAATTCACTTCAGTTTTAAGACTATCATGGCTAAAGCAACACGACTACAATCTGAATACTTTCAAATACTTTAGCATTTAGCAACCAATTCTTAAAATGAGAAGACTCATATCTAATGAAAACCAATTAATATTACTCAAGTTAATGCAGGCCAGCATATTTACAGCACACACCACCTCCAGCAATCCTACTTTGTTACAGAGGAATAACCTGTAACTTTACCTTGTCAGATTCAGCAGCAAGTTGGCTACGATGTTATTCATTGCATCAAATGGCTTCACTTGTAGTGTTTTTGCACTGCCTGCATTTGATGTTACCAAGCTGTTCTGCTTCACAGTTGATCCTAACTTCCCAGAATTGATCATCTGATGAATTTTATTAACTATCTGAAATAGAGACTTTGAGAGGAAAAAAAAAGCACAGTAGTATTGAGTACAGAACTTTGAAATTCAGTAATGCACTTTTTCAGTTCTAATAATCTTGAAAGCTCAGACATTGTAATGTTAGCTTAAAGATTATACATCTAAGTCCAACTTTTGAGCAATTCCAGTTGACTGAAGTGTTTCTAAAAGTCCGTGCCTTACATATCACAAATATATACATAGCTTGACTCAGAGGTTCAAATTTTATTCAACTACTCAAAATCCTCATGAAAATTTAAAATGCAGTTTTAGATGATAGCACCTGTGAAACAAAAAATATAGTCCTAACTAAATTACACTTTCTCTTGCTTTTCTCATAAGCCAACAGCAAGACAGCCACTGAAGCTAGATTCAAAAGAGTCGAGCACTTTGCAAGGTCAAGTATATACATGATTCCCATACCATTAATCAGCAGAGTTAAGTTTGTTGGAATCTGGAGAGGTCAGAGGCCCTTGCAGGACCCTACTAATACTATGCACAAATTGATTGCTAAAAGAATAGAAAACACTCTATCTCAATAAATACAAGCTTTTCACTGTTTACCTTGAAATAGACATGAAAAAATTCACTCTATCTTACTTTGAAGGAGCAAAGTAACTTTTTAGTGATACCCATGTTCATTTCAAAAGCTTGCAAGTAACTTAGAAGTTCAATTATTACTTTAAAAAGTGAAATTATGCTTTTGGAGATTTGGTAAGCAAATCAGTACTGAAAAGTAAGAGACACTTCCACTGTCTAATAAAAAAAAATTACAGCAATAGAATATTATTTCTTACTTCATTCTCTATTGGTAGTACACAATCTGCATGTTCATTAAGTTCCTTCATAGCCAGAACACTGTTATATGGAGAAGTAATCACATCATCTTCACCAGATGGATAAACTGAAGTAACAAATCTATATACTTCTGGGAATTCCTCCTCAAGCAAATTTAGTACAAAAGTTCCAAGACCAGATCCTGTCCCTAATTATGAATGAAGACAGAATGAGAGAAGACAGGTTCCCCACATTATCTTAGGCTCTAAGACTCATGTAGGAGACATACCACTTTTCAATTATATATGTTAATGAATATTTTCTGAAGCATTTGGCTGACAGTAGTAGCTACTCAAAGGTAATTAAGGCAGGAAGGTTTTTCCCAGACAGGAAAATAATTAAGTAATAAAATTATTTCCCACAGTATGTCAGTCAGGATGAAGTATACATTCTCAAAAATTTCTGCAAACCATAAAGTCCTATTATGCTACAAACATTTTTCTGACCTAGTATTTCTACTTCTTATTTTCAATTCTTTAATTTGAATTATGAAACACAACATTTGCTTAAAAGTATTGAACTGCCCCAAACAATACTATTTTCCTTTTAGCGTTTTTAAATGAAATTTTCTCATTCTTCAGTAAAAAAAGAACTGCCCCTTCCCCCCAGCACACAGGCTTTTTTCCTCATTAACACTAAGCACACAGCCCTGAGTTCAAAACAGAGAACTGAACTGTGGTCTTTTTCTGACTATTCAACTACATTCTAAGTGGCAGACAATTTAATCTATGAACAAGACAGCAGTTTTCACAATAACAGTAACAGTACCTGCAGGGTCTCTGAAATTAAGCAAATGGCCACAAAAAAGGCCCTTGACAAAATCCTTGCTTCACATTTAAAACTATTTTCTGTGCCTTTGTCCACATCATAAACAGTTATAATACATGCTACTCTCATGTTTCTGGGGTAGGAAGGCTTAATGGCAATGCAATAATGACAAAATTGTCACTGCAAAGGATTCTCCCTTTTGGTTTATTAACAAAGTAACTAGATCAGATTCAAGAGAATTATGTAGAAGGAAAACAGAAAAACAACATTTTTCTAAAGTTAAGCAACATTAGAAGTCTCCTTCAAAGCCATTTAGAAAACTCCTTCTCCACAATTAAAACCAACTTGATTATGACAATGCTGTCAGTGTCTAGAGGTCACTGACCCTTCTGATCAGTAATACCTCAGTGTTTGTCTTTGGTACCTGTCTTGATCTACTCACTGCCTCATCTTTAGAATATTAGCTGCATTTTCATTCTGGGTAGCACATTAGAACTCCTCAGTGCTCTAATAAAACAAGTGATAAATAATTACAGGTCCACTTAATTGTACTATGCTAATTTTCTAAATCTGCATTCTGAATGATGCAGATAATTATATTGATTTTCTTTTCGAGATCCATGTATTTTGTTTTTTTTCATCTGTGGGTACTGCAGTCATACTCCCCATAAAAAGATTACTTACCACCTCCCATGGAATGAATTATAAAGAAACACTGTAGACAGTCACAATGTTCAGCAGTTTTTCTCAGCTTTTCCACTATGTTTTCCCGGTACTGACAGCCATATATCTTATGACCTACAGCCCTAAGGACAGGAAAAGTACTTTAAAACTCCCCCCACAAAAATCAACTTTAAGTTTTTATTTTTAACTCCTATGTGACATTTTAGAGTTCAGAGTCCAAAGCTGGATGCAACACCTCATCTGTGAGAGTTTCTAAGTTGTGACTACATACAAGCATATGGGAGTCAGGACATGGTTCTAACTTGGGAGGATGCAAACAGCTCTGAGCTCACAACTTTGGAGTATGCACTTATTATTCTGTACTGAAAAGGAAGTAAACTCTCACAATGGATGATCCAATTGCAGTAATGAAATGAAAGCTACACAGTCCTCAACAATAAAGATATCCCTATCTAATAGGTATACAGATCATCTTTTGAGTGAGGCCTTTTGCAAGTCAACTGCTACTAGTAACAAAAAATCCCCAAACAGCTCATTTTCAACACACTTGTCTGCTAGATGGCAAAGTTGGTAAATGGTAAAGTTATTTTACTCTCCATATTGCACTCTCTTTTGGTATATTTGCTGGTGATCTGCTTTCCAGTCTGCAGTGCATTGAATATTACTAGAACACCTTAAGGTCTCTGTAAAAATTTGGAATACATTACGTTAATCAATTTTTTTCTGAATTTCTCTTTTGGCATTGTACTTTATATGCACAAAGCCAGACTACGTGGTGCTTAGAAATCAGAAGTGTATTTGTTCATATATCTCATTTCCACAGTAGCTGCACAGTTTCAAACTAGATTATGGCTTCGACTAAGCAATGAAAGCAGCTGAATGCCAAAGAAACAAAAATAAAAAGCATGTTCTTTTATAAAGAAAATCAAAAAAGAAGGAGAAAAAAAGAGAAAAAATGATATATCAGCAGAATTATTCTTCTGTAAGAGCCTTTTCAAAGCCCTCCTCCAGGCAACAGTGACTCCAAGTTTGCTGGTAAAATGCTACAGATCTCCAGGTGCAGAACAACACAGAAAGCAACGGTTGGTTATCATTTCCCCTTTCAAATGCCATCTAATTAGCTGCTAAGAAATGTGTTCTAAAGAGGCTCTCACCAGTTGTTTCCTGAACCAGAAACATCTGTGATAAGCTGCTTGCTATCAAACACGTCCCTCAATGGTCCCTGTAGAATTTCATTTACCACACCCTCCTCCATGTCAATCAACAGTGCCTTTGAAAATGGAAAGAATTTAAATTCAGTCAGTAAGCAAACCACCCTTGAAATAATCACACAAAGAAATATGAAATTATTTACAATACAAAAGGAATTCTGTTTCTACTCTGCTCCAGAGAAACTTTCCTCCCCCAGTTGTTAACTAGGAGACCAACTAGATTCACCTTAGCTGATTTGCTAAGAAGTTGATAGGACTGCATTTCGGATGATGAAATTTTGTTAAAATTCTATAATGTTTTGCCTCACAACTTGGGAATAAAAAAATTAAAACATTTTTATGTTTCAAGTTTCTCTGCTTCTTAATTTTTAAAGTGGCTCAAAGAAACCCAATCCAATAATATCTGCAATAATTTCATTAAAATTCCAATATAAATTACTCAACAAGACTAGCAGCAAACTGTATTACTACATTAATAAAAGTTAATATTAGAAATTTTACTATTCAAAGCAGTATTTAAACCTGTATGCAATTTTAAGAACTTCGTGAGAATTCCCACAGTTGGACATAAATATTCAATGTAAAAAGAGTGACCTTTATAGATTGTCTTACTCGTGCTTTTAAAGTGCAGATTTTTCCTTTGTATATATCAGGACCATTATCACCACTTCTGAAAAAAAAACAGTAACAGAAAAATCTAAGATCAGATTTGTAGCATAAAATAGATACTATAATAAAAATTTATCTCTTATATTTTGTGTTTGGAGGACTATGACAACGCAAACAAACAGAAACACCCTGAACATGCTGCTAAGACCTTATAATTCCTGAAAGTAATACAATTACAGGACATGATCTCAATCAGAATTATCCTAAACTTTACTTCAAGAAGCTGAAAGATAAGCATAAAAGTTTACTCTCATATACAGCCTCTGCTTTGCAGCAATTCTACAAGCATTGCCAAAACTGGAAAGGATTATGTTTTATCAGAACATGATATGTTTATCCACATCAAACAATGGAAAAAAGCTCCCCATGAGCTTTCAGTGGGGGTCGTACAACACTGTACTTGTGCTCGAGGTGTGAAAGCTCTGTAATTGCAACAGCACAGTGCTGCGCTTGACTTACTCTGCTTATTATGATTTACCAGTTCAGAAATCCTGCTGGGCTGACATAGCTAAATCTTACTTCTTTCCCAGGTACTGAGCCAATGTAGGAGACTATAAAATATGTTACAACCAAATGATGAGATACTATGGTCTGGCCAAACTATATTCAGCACAAGGGAAAAAAAAGGCAGGGATATTGGAAGACTGATATTATTTTCTCTTCCATTATTACCTAATCTGGTCTTTCACCATTCCACATTCATTCACAAAACTTCATCTAAAATTTACTATGTTCTGATCCTACCGAGTCCCATCAGGAGCAAGGGCAAAAGAGTGCAGGGCTGTACAGGATTACTCAAGAATTTTCCAACTTCTTACTCAAAGATGGTCTCTAGACACTTCTCATTAGGTGAGCAGCTCTCAGCAGCCTCCAATACTCATGTGATTCCTCTAGCCTACACAACACCTGCAAGAGTACACTATAGCACCAGTAAAGCCACCTACAGAATCTCTCTTCGGGGACTAACAAGGGGAAATAAAACCAACCTCAAGACAACATTTCTTTTTCTTACTGTTGGCTTTGTGGTCTTTCATGCCAGATCATACCTTCAATCACTTGGATTCAATTGCTGAAAAAAATTCCCAACATTCCTAGAACCATGGGATGGCTTGAGTTGGAGGGGACCTTAAAGATCATCCAGTTCCAACCCCCCTGCCATGGGCAGGGACACCTTCCAGTAGACCAGGTTGCTCGGAGAGAAAACAGATGTTTCTATTGCAGCCAACCTGTCAATTACAAATTTGGTGGTTTCATCTGGCACATACAGAAACAGACATTTTTTATGATCAAATTTTCTTGATTAAAAAAAAAAGTATTCTCAGAAATACCCATGTCAATGGGTAATGACAATAATAAATTCCAATATATTTGCAATGTTCTTTCAAAGAGGTTGAATTTGAGACAAAGCAATTTGGATTTCAGTGCTGTTCTACTTAAAGTCACATTGCTGTACTGCAACCTTTTCATAAAATGGAAGGAAACAAAGGTTGGTCAAGTGGTTTTTATTAATTAAAATGTTAGAGGCTATCCCAAGTACACATTTTCTTCTTGCAAACTACAAGGATTTTTGTAACTGGATAGATAAGAGATAACTGAATGGCTTTAAGGTATGCATTGGTTCACTTGTAAAAAACAATGATAGACACTACTCTGGGTAACAAAATGTCAGATAATTAAGAGTTAAAAAATAGTCAATTTTTTCTGACTATCTTACATGCAATTCCTCTCACAACTCCCCAAGAAATACTGCTCAGTTGGTATTCAGAGGGCACACAATCTGATTGTTATCTGCAGTGGCAAAAACTATCAGATCCCAATTGTCCACATTTGGTACAAATCGAAAGGAAAACAAACCCACACACTTTCAACATATTTAACTACTGAAGTATATATAGATAAAATGGAAATGCAAATATAAGGTTTTGAGGAGAATACAAAAAAGCAAAATCTTTTTCTAGCACAAACTAAATATGACTTAAAGAAAACTATAACTTAGGTTAAAAGAAGATACCACACGTACTGATCTAGCATGTAAACTCACAAACTGCTTGATAACAACTTACCTTGTGTCTACGTTTCTAAAGAAACTGCTTAAGGCTTCATCATACATTCCTTTCTAAAAGGAAACAACACAAAATGATGTGTAATGTCAAAAATTCTCAGTGATTTTTCATGGAGTAATTTAAGTTGGAAGGGACCTCTGAAGGACACCTGTCAAACTTCACCACTTGAAACTGAGTGAATATCTCTGTTGAATCCAGCTAGTTCTAGTTATCTCTAAAAAGAACATTTCATTGAAACATCAGTTTCTTATTAAAAACTGAGAGGAGAATGTAACTAGGAAAATAATTTTTCAGCACAAGATTAAGCAACTGTTATAGTTTACTGAAGATCCCAATGCAATTATTAAATTGAAGAGCTGCTGTTCAGCTGACTCAGTTCATCACTGATATAACTCTCAGTTCATCAAGAGCTCCACGCCTGTGATACCGATGCCCACAGAATTCTGGAAAAAGGACACCACAATCACACTGATTCTTGAACTCCTTGCCAAGGGATAGCATGGAAAGTACTGACCCCAACATAAAGCTAAAGAGATCTGACAAGTTTAAGTACCTTAAGTGCTTTATAGTCACAGCAAGAAAAGTGTGTTTTTGTTCAGGGTACTCAGCACATTCCTATGCCCTCCTCATGTTGCTATTTGGGCCAGTAAAACTGTACAGCAAGTCACGGCAGGAGCTAATGTGAAAACACTGGTGGGCTTTGGGGGTGTCCTCTTTTGTTTTATTGCCAGTGGCAAAGTACCAGCACTGAACAGCCATTACCATGTTAGCTGCCTCAGGCCTGCTAATGCCTGGCTGCAGGGAGACACACTGAGCTTTTCAGGGTGGAAATGCTGGAGAAAGCTGACCAGAATTAGTAATCACAGAATATTCCGAGTTGGAAGGGACCCAGAAGGAACATAGAGTCCAACTCTTAGCCCTTCAGAGGACACTCCAAGAGTCACACCATGTGCCTGAATGTGCTGTCCAAATGCTTCTTGAGCTCTGACAGGCTTGGTGCTGAGGAGACGGCTCCAGTGCCCAACCACCCTCTAGGTGAAGAAACCTTTTCTAATACGTAACTTAAATGTTCCCTGACACAACTTCAGGCCATTCCCTCGTGTCCTGTCACTGGTCACGACAGAGGAGAGATCAGTGTCCCTCTTCCCCTCCTGAGAATGTTGCAGACTGCAATGAGACCCTCAGTCTCTTCTCCAGGCTGAACAGACCAAGTCAACAGACCATAAACTGCTCCTTATATGGCTTCACTTCAAGGCCCTTCACTGTCCTCACGGCCCTTCTTTGGATGTTCTCTAACAACTTAATGTGTTTTATTTATACTGCGGCATTCAAAAGTGCCCCCAGCACTGGAGGTGAGGCTGCCCCAGTGCAGAGTAGAGCAGGACAATCTCCTCCCTTGCCTGGCTGGTGTTGCTGTGTTTGACGCCTCCCAGGACACCACTGGCCCTCCTGGCTGCCAGGGCACTGCTGGCTCATGTTCCACTTGCCATCGACCAGGATCCCCAGGTCCCTTTCCAAGGTGCTGCTTTCCAGTGTCTCATTCCCCATGCTGTCCGTACACCTAGGGTTGTTCCATCTCAGGTGCAGGATGCGCCAATCCCCGTTAAACTTCACGCGGCTGATGACTGCCCACCTTCCTATTTAACAACGTGTAAGGTCTCTTACACTTAACCGTACGTTTTGTTTCCATGATTAGTAAAACGGCACAGGAAGCTGGGGGCGGTTGTGCTCACAGAGAAGCGCCCTTAGTTTCCCCAAACAAACAGCGCTCCGCAGACACAGCGGCCAGCGCGGAAGGAAGGCAGCGAGGGCGGCTGGCCCCGGGCCGGCGGGGCAGCGCCGCCCTTACCTTGTTGACGGCGGCGTGTTCCCGCAGCGCCAAGTCCCAGAAGCGGCATCCCACCTGGTTCCCGCACTGTCCCACTGCAAAGGGGAGAGACACGGCTCAGGCAGGGGAAGGGGGCGGCGGGAGATGTGGGCACCACGGCCTCCTTACCCTGCACCACCACCGACTGGGTCATGGCAGCAACGGCGGCGCAGTCCGGGTTCAAAGTCGGCGCCCGGAAGCCGCGCCCCCTGAGTTCCTGCGGTGGAACGTCCCAAGCGTTGCCTCGCAGCGGGCGCTCGCCGCCTGCCCGCCGCGAGTGGGACGTGCCATTATGGAGCGGGGGGGACAGCACGGGGGAGTAGCGAGGTTTTCAGAGCCTGAGGGAGACCTGGGAGCGGCTGCAGGGTCTCGGCTGAGGCCCAGATACCAGGGGCCTGACAAAGACCTAACATAAAGTCTCTGTACGGGAGAACAGAAGTATTTCCATACACTACAGTTCATTATCCTTTTTGGCTAAAAATGGTGTGATAAAGAAGCGCTTTATTTTCCCCAAATACATAATTCATGGTGTGACATGTGCGAAACGGTATGAAAATACAAACTAAAAATGGAATGAAAAAACGGCCATTTGGAAACGCTGTAATGTACCCTCCCACCAGGCTCGCACATTAAGCTCAGTTTCATACTGTGCATATAATTGTACACAGTGAAAAAACAAGGAGTGTAGAGATGCTGTCCTGGTCCACGGCACAGCTCAGCTGCAAAATCATGGAATCGTTTAGGTTGGAAAAGACCTTTAAGACCATCAAGTCCAACTGTTAATCCAGCACTGCCAAGTCCAGGACTGAAACAGTAAAGAATGCGGGACATGCAAAGCTTGCAGAAAGCTGTCTTGTAACACAGATGGCATTTCTGCTTCCTGCGGGAGGAAAAAAGCACTTCCATGCAACCCAGTCCATTAGGTTTTATGGCTAAAACTTTCCAACAAAATACTCTTTTTTCAAATAGATTACTTGCCATGCTGGTGCACAAAAAATTTGTTAAATACATTTTTTAATCCTTTATTTGTACCTAGAATGACCTGGTATCCTGTACAGATTAATTGTAGATCTACAGGAAAATAAAGTTATTGTAAATGACTATTTTAAAAAAACTTTCCTGGAAAGATTATGTATGTATTGCAGCAAATAAAATATTGTACAATACAATATAAGAATGCATTATATACAAGAAATAGATACACAGACTAATTTTGTAAAACTTAATTGAAATCATGTTGTTCTTGAGAAAAAGTACTGAGTGGCCCAAGCTTACTCAAATGTCATGTATGGAATGTGTGAAAAAGACCAATGGCTTTTGTGTTATTGGCATGTTTAGCATGAATAGAATAATACTGCCTCAAGCATGTCTTTTCTATAAACTAATCACCAGTATAAAACTATGTGAATATTAATCAGGAAAGTAGGTAGTAATTTCTCTCTGGACAGACTAGATGTAACCTGTAACTTAATTTTGTTTTCTGTGTTTTTTTGAAGTGGTCCAAACTTGTAGGCTGTCCTCTGTTCTTGCTATTAAATGTCAAACTGCTTCTATACTTCTTGCCTACTGTCATGTCCTTAAAGTCTTCTCTTCACATGTCTTCTCGGCCTTAATTAATATAAAAGCAGTACAACATTGCTTATAAACATTCTAATGCTTAATTTAAATTCTACAGAATATCTTATTATTGTTGTATCTGACTTTCTTTCTTGTGTAATTAGCTCCACCTTCTACTTGTTTTTTAAGTTAGTTGTAGTTTTTGTGTTCTATATACCATGAAGATTCAGCTTAGTGAGATTCACTCTATTGAACTTGATGTTGCAACAAGACACTCTGAGCTTTGGCTTCCAGTGTTCTTTAAGTGGTCTGTGAAGGCAAATGTAAAATGATTATTCTCTCAGAGCATGGAAACACTGTGAACTGGAGATTCAACTGAGATTCATGTTCATGTAGGGATATTTTTTAGCTGCCCAAGGAGGTCCTAGGGCAGGAAGTTGATGTGCAGTAGCCAGTTTGGCTTGATGCATATGCTCAGATGTTTAATGAAACAATCAGCTCAACTCTGTGAAAGAAATAATCACACACTTGACTTTCTGTTTAGTATAGTATAAAATGCATGAATCTATACAGACCCCTTGGAGACACTTTTGTCTCTGTTAATCATTTAATCAACAGACTTATGGTAATATGTGTTTCTTACCCCTAATATCTCATTAATATTTTGCTGATGTGTTATACAGGAATGGTGTTCCTCAGCTTTGGAACTCAAATTGAGTAATTGTATAAATAGCTTACTATGCTATTTAGTGGAAATGAATTGCCATGGACCACAGTGAATCTGTGAATAACCTTTAAATCCCATGCTGTAACAAGAGCTAAAAGTACATCACAAGTTAAATATGTGTGCTATGTTTTCAGCATCTTTTTAATAACAGTCATTTGGCTATTTAGGCCACGTGCTGCTGTAGGGAAGAATACACTGGAATTTGAACTAATGTTATCCTTTGATTTATATTAGGTCTTAGTTCACATATGAAGGTCTGTTTGGTTGTAATTTTAATTTTTTTTTCTATTTTTTGTTTGAGATTTTTTTTTTTAATAACTTAGAATTGTTGTGTTTTGGGAAATTACTGTCAGACTTGCAACACTTCATCTTCCATTTTTCTGGTCAGGCTGTTGTCCATACTTTGGATTCTTGAGGAGAAGGTTGTTCTCTACACATCTTGAGATATAAGAGATAGAGGAGGCTGAGATCTCATTTAAACCCTCTATTTTGAAGCAGTTTCCTGAGCATTTGATGTTGAAATTGGTTTCTTTCTTACATAGTCATGCAAATGTCCAATTTCAGAATATTTTGGGATACGATAACAGCATAGTTGCAGCCCTGATTTAGATAATGGGTATAACAACACTTATTAAAACCTTGAAGGGTGGCAGAGAAAATATATAATCTCCTTATGGCCAGTGCTCATTTCTTGTAGGCTTTCTGTGGAATTTAGATAGTTATATTCATGTTAAAAATGGAAATGGAAAATCTGACAATGTAGCTCAGAACCTGAAGGTTTTTCCCAAATCTTTGTAGACGAAAGGCTTGTACTTTGAAGCTGTAATTTTTAAGATAGATACAGATGACAAATTGAATTCTGGGGAGATTTCTGCTTGGGCAGTTGCCTTCTCTTAAACACCAGCAGCCTTGAAATGAGTGCAGAGGTATGTGCAATATAATGCATCACATACTGGCTTTCTTTGGTGCATACAAAATGGTAATTTTAAAGTCTATGTGGGTGTTGGGGCCAGGGAAATTTGCTTATTTTCTGTTCTCTCTTGAGTCTGCAAGTATCCTCTGGTTTATAGTGTTTTTCTTTGGACACCCTGTTGTGAAGAGGGAAAACCCACCCCTCTGAAGCCTAGAAGGGAAAATTGAGGAACACATCCTCCAAAATAGTGCTGTGTTTGATTAGCTGGTGATGTAGTAAAGAGAAATAAATTGGATAGTAGCAGTTTATAAATTTTAATTGGTTTTTATTCACATACTGTTTAAGTGTATTTTTAGTTTTCCATATATAAAGTATGCAAAGGACTGATTAAATCAGAAAAGTCATTCTTAAATGTAAATCCACAGAATGAAACCAAATCACATTGCAGCAAATATGGCTAAGAGAAATATTGTTTATTCACAGAGCTTGGATGTGGATATGAGAAAATGTGCTTTGGTTCGAAGTAGGTGTGAGACAGAAAAGCATTCTGAGTATGTGTGTACCAGTTAACATACAATGCTCCACTTAATACCAGCATTCACTAAACTCTGATGCTCTTAGAGGGCACAAGCATTTGCTATTCCTGGCTATCTCTGCTGAACAGCTGCAGGCAACTCAAAAGGAATTTCAGTAATCCTTGTAACCAACCTATCTAAGCAGGGAATCTGCTGTTCTTTTCTCTCCAGCAACAGGGTCCTGGAGACCAGGGCCTGAGGAAGCTTAGCTCAGGTTGTGGTGTCATGAGCTGTTTTGAGCCAATCTTACAACTCACTGGCACTGGGAGAAAAGAGACTTCCTTTTTTATCCCTGCTCTCAGCTGTACTGCTGTACTGCTGTACTGCTCATGGACACCATCCATGGCCTCTGTAACCACTGGGAACCCAGCTCACTGATCTGAGGACATTCGCCCTCAACACCAAAAAAAAAAATTCCTGAAGCAAGAGCTCAAAATTTTCTGTTCCACTTCTGGGTAGTAGCTGGGAGCAGGAAAAAGCTGAATAAGCATAGTGGTTTTGGTGCCCGAGACAAAGATGGCATTTGAAGGCAATTGGGTTTAGGGATCCATGCCTGATCCAGAGAGACTGAAGAGGGATACTCTTACTGCTTGCTTCTCAGGTATGAACAGTGGGCTTTGGAGTGATGAAAGAAGGGTCCATATATCACTCCCGTGTGAAGGGGGCGTCTGTAAGCTTAGAGTTGGAAAGGGAATCAGTCCTTGGAGCATATTGCCTGAGAGCTTCAGGGAAGAGAAAGGGGGATGTGTTCAGGAGAACACAAGCAGAACAGGAATGGGGCTGAAACTATGAGCAGAGCTGACAAGGCTGGTGAAAGGAGAGGCAGTGGCTACTGGAGCCACACTGTGGTCACTTACCACCCAACACTGGACTCTAGAGACAAGTGGAGAGTCCGTGATGGGGTCCCAGCTGCTGGAGAGTTCCTGTGTATCCAGAGGTTGCAAATCTTTATCCAGAGTAAGCCAAGTCTGCTGCAGTGCATCAAAACCCGTTTTTCACCCTACTGAGAGTAGTAGGGAAGCTGCTGATTAGTGCTTACATATGTATCTTATTCTAGTGGTTCTTCCATCTGTCCATGCTTTCAAGATGTTTGGATTCCAGTTTTCAATTCTGTTTTCCAGATGAATTCCTATTAATTTTTAGTCCCTAGGGTGTCATCCTTTATTTTCGCATTTCATAGTTTCCTGCTTTGCAGTTGATCATGTTTTGAGTTGGTTCCAACAATGATTTGCTCAGCAACCGTAAAACTTTCTATAACATTACTTTATTCTTTAAAGAAAGCTAAATGGCTTTGATTCCTTGTAGGTGATGATTGAAGGGACTAAATTTTGCAAGTGACTTGTGTCTATTTTGAGTGCAAGCCGACTGTGAGTTAAGCCCAC